TAGAAGGAAGAGGAATGGGGAGAGTAGACAGCCTTGTCTGACTCCGGTCCTTACTGGAAATGCATCTGTCAGCTGTCCTCCATGCACCACTTTGCACTGTAATCCATCGTATGAGTTTTGGATAATGTTGACGATCTTCTGAGGAACTCCATAGTGTCGAAGAAGTTTCCACAATGTTCTCCTATCCACGCTGTCAAACGCCTTCTCATAGTCGATGAAGTTGACGTATAGTGATGAGTTCCACTCAACTGATTGTTCAACGATGATCCGTAGTGTCGCAATCTGGTCTGTGCACGACCGATCCTTACGGAATCCAGCCTGATGATCCCTAAGTTCGGCGTCTACTGCGTCTTTCATCCGATTCAGCAGCACTCTGTTGAAAACTTTTCCTGGTACTGATAACAAACTGATGCCTCTGTAGTTCTCACATTGGCTCAGATCTCCTTTCTTTGGTATCTTGATGAGATATCCTTCTTTGGCGAGACTAAAGAACATGGACGAGCCAATCAGAAGCTTTCGTGGGTTTTCAAGGTCACGGCGCTAAGTTCGGTACCTGATGCTTACGTACGGTCGGTTTACAACGGATTTTAGAGAAAACATGATAATTAAGTGTCTAACAGATAAGTTATCATAAGATTTTGGCGCAAAACTCAATTATACATTTGGACAGAGTTGTGGCATTATAGTTGATGTCAGTTCGTGGTGAAAACCGTAAGTATAATTCCTAACCTTAACCATGAACTGTAAATCATTATTTGAATTCTTCACACGGGTTTATGACCCTCATTTAGTCTTAGTTATTACGTTTACACTCTCAGATTCACTCTAGCGTCGCTCAAATGTCGTCCATAATTCATAGTCTCATCTTTAACCCTAAACCGTAACCCTAAACCTTAACCCTAATCTTAAACCCTGAACCATACCAACATACCGACAACACTGAAACTATGTGGTCGAGGCTGAAAGAATTTTCGGGACTTTATCATGGTTTCAGAGGTCGGCTACTATGGAGCCACAGGGATGAGTTCCTGTGCCGGACGCACTATGATTTTAGAACTTCTGAACCTATATCTAACCTTGATAAGTTTTTGATTCATGTAAAAGAACACTATCCCCTTTAATTTTTGAGTTTTATATAATATATTTTTACTGTATGCTAACTGTCTTCTGATTGGCTAATATTTCTCAAGGTCATTTAAGATTCGTTCGAAGGTCGTCCATGTTCTTTAGTCTCGCCCCTTCTTTCCAGTCCGTTGGCACTTGTTCCTCTTCCCAAATCTTTTTGAATAGAAGGTGAAGCATGTTTGCAGTTATTTCAATGTCTGACTTCAGTGCTTCTGCTGGTATATTGTCAGGTCCTGCCGCCTTCCCACTTTTGATTTGTCTGATGGCCATCTTGACTTCTTCGATCGTTGGTGGAGTGACATCTATTGGAAGGTCAGTGTGGGCTGCTTCGATGTTCGGTGGATTCGATGGGGCTGGTCTATTCAGCAGTTCCTCAAAGTATTCTGCCCATTTTTTCCTCTGTTCCTGAATCTCAGTGATTGTCTTTCCTTCTTTGTCTTTGACTGGTCTCTCTGGTTTGCTATATCTCCCTGCCAATTTCTTCGTTGTATCATATAGTTGTTTCATATTCCCTTCTCTTGCAGCTTTTTCCGCCGCCGTTGCTAGTTCTCCCATGTATTTCTGCTTGTCGGCTTTAATGCTTTTCTTCACTTCTCTGTTTGCTTCTGCGTAGTCTGCTTGTGCTTTGACTTTCTCTGCTCGTGTTCGGCTGTTGTTAATTGCTAGTTTCTTGTTCTTCCTTTCTTGAAGTTTGTCCAGGGTTCCCATAGAGATCCATTCCTTGTGATGATGCTTCTTAGGACCAAGAACCTCCTGACACGTTGAAGTTAGTGCTTCTTTTATCCCTTTCCAGTTGTCCTCCAAAGTAGTTTCTTGTTCTTTCAGTAGATCCTGTAGAGCTTGGAACCTGTTGTTGAGAGTTATCTTGAATTCATGGAGTTTGTCAGCATCTCGAAGGAAGGCTGTATTGAACCTTTGTAGTGCTGTTTGTCCAGTTGTCCAGTGTTTCTTTAGCTTCAGTCTCATCTTGGCCACAACCAGGTGGTGATCTGAAGCTATGTCAGCTCCTCTCCGGGTTCTCACATCTTCCATTGATCTTCGGAATTTTTTGTTGATACAGATGCGATCAATCTGGTTCTCTGTGGTGTGGTCCGGTGAGCTGTGTGTATGCGTTTGTGTGGGAATATTGTGCCGCCTATAACCAATTTGTTGAAAGCACATAGGTTTGCAAGTCTCTCCCCATTTTCATTTCTCTCTCCTAGTCCATGTCGTCCAATTACATCTTCATATCCTGTGTTGTCCACTCCAACTTTAGCATTTAGATCTCCCATAAGGATGGTGAGGTCCTTTCGTGAGCACTTTGCTATAATTGATTGCAGCCTTTCATAGAACTGATCTTTATCATCGTCGTTGCTATCATTGGTGGGTGCATAACATTGGATAACATTCATTGTGATCCCTTGCTTCTTTGTTCTGAATGATGCTTTGATTATCCTGGGTCCATGAGATTCCCATCCCACAAGTGCATTTCGTGCTTCTATGGACAGCATTAGAGCAACTCCCTGAGTGTGTGGCGCATTTTCCCCTTCGTGACCGGAGTACAGCAGCATCTCTCCTGTACCTAGCCTTTGTTGTCCAGTTTGTGTCCAATGGGTTTCGCTGATTCCGAGTACTGCCAAGTTGTATCTCCGCATTTCCATTGCTATTTGGCTGGTCTTTCCTGTTTCCCACATTGTCCGGACGTTCCATGTACCTATAAAGAGTGTTGCTCTGGTTGTTAGAAGGTGCATCGGTTTCGTGACTTCCGAAGAATTTCGGCTTTCATCATGAGACGTCATTATTCCTTCAACTCCCAGGGCAGAGTTTAAATGGTTTGGATTATTTTTTCTGGTTAGCGTTTTTTTAGCGAGTTAGCTTTTCTACGGGATGGGGTCGCTAACCCCATGCCCAACCCTCCTCCTTTACCCGGGCTTGGGACTGGCAGTAACTCTAGAAGAGCTACAGGCGGAGTTGTTAACAACATCTACCAATAAAGAAAACGTAAGGAAGAAATCACAAATGTAAGCATGGAGGGATTTTCACTTGCAAAATAGATCCAACATTAGGGACGGAAATACAATGAATTACCTTATCGAGACCTATTTTGAGATTGCTGATGTACATGCAAAACATTTTCCTGTAGTGTTGTAGTGGCATTGATCGTAACCAGACTATCCTCAAAGTTGAACATGAGCTAACGGGGAAAATAAACATTCATTATTTATCACAGCGAGAAAGACAATAATGGTGAACGCGGGAATATCCATGCATTCAGTCGGATGGCATGGCTCAGCCTCGCTGATGTGGTCATTCTGTATAACGCGTCTTTGCTCCCATTAAATATATAATCCTATCTTCAGCCTAAATGTGTTCTTCGGAAGTACTGAATATCATATTCTAAATTGTTATGATACGATGAGTCAGTGTAGTCAATGATGTGAATTCCATGTAACATCTCATAGATTAGGTAGTCACATCAATACATATTTACAATTTTGTGATTAGTTCTATGATTATAATAATACTAATAACGAAGTAGACCATAATTCTACAGTGTCGCCTTATGAGGCATAGATATACATGATTTGGAGTACAACTTAACGGGAGTGGTATAATATATGACTGATCTGTGTGAAAGTAACTGTGAAATGTTACTGGGCATCATAAACATAGTACAAAATCGTCTAACGCTTCTTTGACACTCACCTGAGTAACTTCTGCAGTTATGCAATGAAGATTTGAAGCAAGCAATAATCCGACACCAAGTTAACTGGAGAGAACGAGGAATAAATATGGTGTATCAGTGAGGTAATTCTCGGATTCGGATAGCATTGCAGACTAATTTGGTAAGGATCCCGAAATAATTCGAGCCATATAGTCAGCACTGACTGAGCGAACGATAAAGATGAAATCTAAGGCTGAAAGAAATTTCAACTTCACACTCAGAACAAATTTCTGGCATTTGTATTGTCTGTTTGACAATGGAGCTCGGGAATCAGAAACTCGATGGGTAGTGGTCAGGTAAGTAAAATTGTCGGGTATAGTCTGTGACGAAAAATGGAGTATGAAATAGAGTGAGGAAAGAAGATAAATTTAAAGTCGGTCAGTGGTCAGGTAAGTAAAATTGTCGGGTACAGTCTGTGACGAAAAATGGAGTGTGAAATAGAGTGAGGAAAGAAGATAAATGTAAAGTCGGCATCTAGTGGAGGCTTACACCAGGGTGAGTGCTTTAAAGGCAGTTGTGCGTTCGCGTTGTCCCGTGGTTTTAATTATGAGTGGTTGACATTTTAACAAACATATTACACCAGAGCATTTATATGCTGCCCATGCTTGTTAAAGGATTATGATGGTGGATTATAATTACAGTTGGTTAGCTATTTTCATCGATTGAGCTAGTTACTCAAGTTTGAATACTGATCAACACTGATTTAAAACAGCCGATGTTCGCAGTAACCGACATACTAATGCATTAGTGAATTATTGGAAGGTTATTCGAAGTCCGGTTATCTACTGCCACTGTATACGGAAACCTGCTAGATGAGGGCTTCTTCTACTCCGTACAAAACCATCCGAACTATCTGCAGATATATCTGTAACATTAAGCAAATCCTCAAAATAAATATCTCTTTGGGAAACTCAACATTTGTCCGGAGATTAATAATGTAAACAGAAACTTGTCTCTGATGGCGACAGGTCAAGAGTCGTGGCAGCATCTTTCCACAGAATACTCAAGGACTATTTAATAATAAAATATCTGTGTGTAGAAAATTTGGGAGACTTCAGTCTACAGAAATTTAGCTTTGAGAAATCCAGGAGCAGAATTGACAAATAATCCCCTCATCCATTCTTTGAACATCAGAATTAATCTTTCTTTCAGTTTTCCAAATAGACATTTAATGTTGTCTCCACATAATGAATTAGCAGTAATAGGAGTTACACCTTCGAAAATAAAGTTTATTTATCCAAACGACTTGGAGCCCCCTACTAGTGCTTCAAATGACGGCCAGAATGATGCACTTAGCTGTATGAATAACACTGTCAGGCAACTAGCATTAAGCCTTGTAACCTCCTGTTCTTCTACAAGCACACAAATTGTTTTGGCTGGTGCGATAATAAAAGCATTGTGCTATTACCTTCGGCGCTGTCGTGAATTACAGCCGTCTACAAGACATTTAGATGATTCCTTGGAGATGACAATGGAGATTAGTGAAGGAAGTGAAAAGATTTCCTCTCGCATACTGATTATTAAGGCGTCTGATGACAATTCTTCTCAATACTTAGCGTTGATGAATTCTGTGTTCACAGCTCAAAAGCTTCATGTTCCAATAGACACATGTGTGTTATCATTACCACAACAGTCAGATAATTTAAATTGCAGGTGTGGGCCAAGTTCTCTCGGACACTCAAGTCTTCTTCAACAAGCTGCAGATCTAACTGGTGGAATTTACTTGCAAGTGCCAAGAGTTTCTGGTTTGCTACAGTATTTGTTATCAGTATTTTTGCCATCGTCTAAAATGAGGACATCTCTCTTACTTCCAGATAGTCGATCCAGTGGTTTATCGTTTGGTGTTGACTTTCGAGCTGCATGCTTTTGTCATAAACGATTGATAGACATTGGTTATGTTTGTTTGGTATGCTTGTCTGTATTTTGTGAGTTTAATCCGATATGCCCTACTTGTAATACACCTTTTTTGTTACCAGCTGTACAAAATATGTGAATAAATGCAAAACAAGAGACTTGTTCTTTTCTTCTTGACAATGTATATTTACTTGAGATGCTTATTCGCATTATAGATGTCTGACGAACGTCCAATGAAAAAAGCAGAAAAACACAAGGTAACGAGTCTTTATGTGTAGTGTTTATTTACATATATTTTTACATTAAGCTATGTATTCATTACATGGTTGTGGAACATCCACTTTATTAATTAAACACAAATATTGGTACAAAGGGGCACCAGACACATATGCGCTACACAAATCTTATTTAACGTATGTGAGGGCTTTGATACTGCCCGGATGCCCAGATCGAAGCAGGTGGTTTTCTTAGAGGGCCATACCCGAGCCTTTGACCTAAAGGTCTGATCCACAAGGCAGTGGAGCATCATAAGGAGATGCGGTCCCATGGTAGCCGGTGACCGGCAATTGATTCATACGCCATTTGTTCCTTCAGGATACTGGAGCCCGTGTGCACCATTGGTTTAGAATCAGGGTTTTCCAACTTCCCTAGGTGAACATTCCTTGTCCACCAACCCGTTTAAAGCGCCGAACATTCGCTTTTCGTCCTCTCGATATCGTAAACAAGACTTCGCCTCGAGAAGGCAGTGAGTAGGACTTCCCTTTTGAAGGCTATTAACGCGTGGCCATGTGAGTATTTCGAGAGGGAGAGCGGACTCTCCCCATTCTCTGCCGTACGAGGGCATTTTGGGGAACATCCAAACATATCTATAGGCAAATAATATACGGTTCCAATTTTAGGTTCATATTCTACATTCCATCTTCTGGCGACCAAACTACAATACGTATATGTGTACGTGTTTTTATTCTCCTTAAATATCTATAAAAACAGTCACCCTAATATTATCTAAGTCTATCATACGGAACTACGATGAGTTAGATGTCGACTGCATTACTTATTGTTTGTTTACCGTCTATCATTTACTTGCACAGAGTATAAATTTTCTAAATTTAATCCTCATCCAAATTTTCATGTCTACTTTGTCATCAACATGTTTAGTCGACCGGAGATGTATGGAGTTAAGTAGGATATGTATTTTGTTGATATTATGCAATTACCGTTATTATTTGATGGAAGTCACTAAACGGCCATTAAAAGCTAAACTGAGAAAGGAAATCAGTTGATAAAGTCGTTGGTTGTTGGTCTTATGTTGATAGATGAGACCATTTTTTTGGGTTCCTGGAGGATTATAGTGACTAATAGTTGGAGACTTTGGGCAACAATTGGAAGTCTGTTGCAGTGACACAGACTCATTTAATCTTTGTTTACCTTCTAAATTCCGAATTTCTCAATGTTATTTTATACTTTTCATTCCGCCAATTTATTCTTGAATTATATTCTATATCTAGTCTTTTACTACTTCTGATACTGCTACTAATAAGTTCATTTCGCTGCACTGATATGAATATCACTCTGGGTCAGTGTCTACTTGGCTCACGTTCTTTTGTCGCTTATAACCAGATAACGGACAATCGTTGGGTAAAATACATTCTAAATGAAATAATTTTCATTGTACGAAAAAGTTTAAATGAATAATATGTTATTCAATAGATTTTATCTTGTCTTTTGTTTACAGCTATCTGATCCACTTGACGATGTAGCTTGGAAAATTATGGTAAGTTCTAGCGGAAAATGTATCTATTCAGAAATTCGTTGTCGTCAATTTTGTCATTTTGAATGTCGAAGTGGTCTGTGAGGTACATATTGTTTTTTTAGAGTTACAGTATTGTTAGAATACTATAAGTTATCTAGTGGAGGATTTTATTGTTCAAAGCATATTTAGCTTTCAAAGAATAGATAATAGCTTCGAATCCTACTACTCTACGTACTTTGGTTTGGTCAGTCGAGTAACATCACAAGCTTTAACATAGTATTATTTATGCTGGGATAACCCGGTAAGTAATAGTGAGGTTAGACACAGGGTATTAGGGAATGATGGTAAATCAGTTGATGAGGTCATGAGTCTTCATCAACTGAGATGGTTGGGCCGCATGTTACGTATGCCCGAACACCGCAATTCTGACTAGTATTGGGGATGGTTGTAAAAGAGTTAGGGGCGGCCTAACCAAAACATGACATCAGAGCATAAAGTCACTAAGTTCTAGTCTGAGCCATGTTGGCAAATGCAGACTACCTGGTTGGGATCCACGCGACTATCGTAACCAATCGTTGAAGACTCTAGGTGACATGGCTCAGAGTCGATCACAATGGCGTAGATGTTTACACTCTTTATCTTCTCTTAAACCATGAGATTAAAATTGCTTCATAACTTTTTTCCTTCCTATACTATATCCTTATATACAATCTTTCTTTATGTACTACCACCACTAAATTAACTACTTCTATGAATCCGGTGTTGATCTTGTTGTGCTAACAAGGTATAGCAACTTGGACCGATGCATATATGTGCCTGGTCCTACGTTGTAACTGACTGACTGACTGAGTTGATATGTCAATCCGAAGTGACCTGATTGGTTAATGAATAAAGACAGAAATATCTAGTATATCGCATATCTCTATTGTAATATATACCTCTACTTATTGTATTTTTCCAAAAATAACTTGTTTTTGGTTCATATTCGGTTCTTGATCAGACTGTCTAGTTACTGAGTGCGTGTCCTGTGTGAGATTAAGCAACACTGTCGCTGTGACAGCACTTTTCAGGATAATGTAAGTGAAATTACATGCGTGAAACGGAATATGAAATATGATAATCCTCTAAATACAGGGGAGCATACAATTAACTAACCGGCATTACGCTCTTACAAACTTACGGTAGACGACAAGTTTAATAAATGGAAAAAAATATCAAAAAATCTGCTCATATACTGTCACCTGAAGTACTGAAATAAATGCTCGACTTTCCTACTACAATTTCTCTTGTTTAAAATCTTTTTCATATCATTAGCGAAAAATGGGTTATGAACATGGTCAAGGATTGGGTGTTAATGCTCATGGTGTAGTTGAACCGGTTGTGATGATGATTATACTACAACTGATGGAGATTATACCTTATCGTGGTCAATGGAAAGCGAACGTCCTCCTAATACCTTATCGGATTTGAAGTCTCCAATTATCAGTCCCGATGAACCGGAGGCTTTAGGTCCGCCTATTGAAGAGTTGGATAATGAAGATAAATTCTGCTCGATTCATCTTGTTCAGGAAGTTTTAAACTATAAGGTCCGGTGATGTTTCTTGACTAATTTACTTAGTTTTATGTGTTTTTAAAAAAAAGGTAGAATATTTGATTATTAGTTTAATTTCGAGACATTTACACTTCTTTTTAATCATCGATTTAGTTTACTGTATGTCCAGTACTAGTATAAAAATAGGCTTTGAGAAAATTGGTGGCAGCCGAATGGGGGAGCGGGATAAATTCAAGAATATTCTGTCTCAGTAATCGCCGCATTGATGCATAGACTTTCTTGTTAGCGTCATCTCAATCGTAATCAATGGTAACGCGGTTCAAAATTGATCTCAGGATGTTCAAATGCATTTATTCTTTGTTCACTTTTGGATCTCAAGTTTTAATAGTAATACATTTTATTATTTGAGTTAATCTCTTCTGAGTGATTGCGTTACGACTCGCACTCTCTTGAATGGATTTCGGTCACCGAACCATGGTTAAGTTACTGGCCTCCAAATAGCAAGATTACAGGCGCACGCCGCCACGCTACACTATTATTATTATTACACTATTATTTTCACTATTTTTAATCTTTTAGGGCTGCAATGAAAATGGCCAACATCGATTCAATCTTTAATGGAATGTTTACAACTGCTGCTCCGAAAGATGTAAGTGCATATTTTGAGTTAAATAAAACAATAGCGGTCGTGTTTATTTCAATGTTACATTTCTCCAAATAATTCTTTTAATACGGGAGATGGTTAGGTGTAAAGAATAAGTGAAAATATGATTATTTGGAAGCTGTATGCTACTGCTTCAGTTTATATCCATATTCAGTTTATCCCTCATATCTGACCTAATAGAGATGTTTGGGGATAAAAGAATAGCTAAACACTGTGGATATATAAATCACGAAGTTAAACCTACTATATACGTATGAAATAGAATGGACGTAAGGACTAATTTCTCTGCTAGCTGAAAGACATATATGGGTGAGATTGCAGATCATCAATATTCAGCATATGAACTCGTAATTTTCAGTACTGTTCAACACATACTCTGGTAGTCTCAAATGGACCAGCACTTAAATCAAGAACACAGTGTACACACTTGTAAGTATATTTCATTTGTAACTCGAATTTGGGGCGTATTAATAAACAAAGAGATTATTAGCTAACACAACTACCATATCTGCACACAGCCGATGCAAATGTTGGGCTTTATGTAACCACTGAAAAATTTCCATCATATTAAAACAAGAGATGTATACTAAATATCCACTTCAATTATCTCAAATCTTTGCACTTCACTTTTGTAGTTAACACGTTATCAAACATTTTATTGGAACTATCTACATTTATCAGTAGAAAGTGAGTTGTACTTGAGGCATTCTTAAATTCTCTAGCCTCAGGATAGATAGTCCAATATCAGTAACCAAAAATTCATAGGTTATAATTTATCAGTGGTCATCTCTGATCAGCAAATTACAACATACAAGAATAGAAAGTTTATGACCAATAACATTCGAAATAGAAACTTTTCCAAGCTTGATTATAACATTGTAATCTAATGACGCCAACTTGTTGACTGAAACGATAGGTCTGGTGCTCAGTGTCAACAATATAATTATGAAACAAACTGTCAAACAAATGTTTCACATAACTTTATAGTACCTTGAGAGTTCCATAAGGGCTTATCTGGAAATGCCATATTGAAATTCCACTCTAAATTTCATTATTCATTAATACGCACCAAATTTAAGTTAAAAAACATAATATACTTACAAGTGTATCTACTATCATTTTCCTAATTTGAGTGCTGGTCCATTTGCACATATCACAGAACATATTGAAAAGTACTGGGAAGTACGAGTTTGTGTTTGGAATCCAATCCTACTACTTATGTTTGCTCTTTAAGCACCTTTATCATACAAGCTGAAGATAGTCTTTCGAATGTTCTGAAAGAACATTGCTCTATTTAAAAGCCAGTAAAGTAGTTTTATAAAAACATGTTTTCCCTCCCATAGCTTTTTCATTTATTGTGTACTGAATACAGGAAAGTACACTTTTGATTTTGATGTAATGCGTCTCTAATCTTTTTGCAACATGACACTTGATATAACGCAAATTTTTAACAACAACAAAACTCGTTAAATCAATGTAGAAATTGGCACGCTCTGTTCGCTAACTAACAAGTATGATCGGTGTAGTAGTATGGAATTCGACTATTTTGAGGTGTTGGAGGTTTGTAGCTCAGGTGGGTGATTTAGGTGGAGTTTTGTTATCTGAGCTAGATGGTTTAGTCGTGGAGCTTTCTTCGTCCTTCTGAACGACACACAGCACACACGCTCAGCACAAACTTGAGCTCAGAGAACAAAAAAACCCAAATTCGACTATCGGAGGGTACCATGTTATCTATTCACGTAGTGAGTCAATATATAACGTGGCATAAGTTTCTAGTAGTCTTAGATATATTTAATTTTGTAGGGTTATAAGCTCCGTTGTGCCTCTTCTCGTGCTTATATTGCTTCGACATTAAAGCAGTACTCAAACCTAAATACGTCTATGTCACACTACCCAATTTACACATGTATTGCTCTGTGTTTATCCGTTTAATGCTTCTGGGTTATTAAGACAGCTTCTATCATGTAAGTACTACTTCTATCAACCTACAGTGCTTTTTTCTTATTTTTGTGCATCACTTGTAAACAATTCTTAGGTAAAGATGAGACCCCAACAGATGGTACTGACTGACAGTGTCTTTTGTTAACTGATTGTCTTTGAGAAATGTGAAACACTGAGACGTAATGTTTTTTCCCCAACAAGTGTGATTCGATGTAGTACATACATTTGAAGTGTCTTCCTATTTCAGATTAACTGTTTATTAAAGTAGCGGTCAAACAATTCAACGGATGTGTCCTAGTTTTATAGCATGAGTACATCTTTGGTGAATGTTATATCGTAGTGAAGATTGCATTACGGGTAGCTTCTGAGAACTAATAATGGACTAATATTATATATATATATATTCCTATTGTATAACTATTCTGTAACTAGATTGTATATATCTATACTTCTTTTATTACAAGCTTTATTTTGATCTATAGACCCAATTTGTTGTGTCTTTAAGTCCGGATAATTATCACGTGATTTATTCGCCAACCGAAACGTGACTTATACAATCTTAGTACTGTGCCAAACCAATAATGTTCGACCGGTATAAACAGCCTAGAGTCCTTATTAGTCCTGTGTTCTCATAGACCTTCCAGTTGAGTTTGGGACATCAACAATTTTCTCTTATTATCGTCTTACTTTCCCTTTTACACAGGATATATTATATTTTGCTGATATTTGTGCTGGTCCTGGAGGTTTCTCAGAATATACTTTATGGCGACGATGTAATGCTCCATATCATACTCACTCATCAAACACTACACTCAGTCCTAATCATCATTCCAATATCAATGATAAATTATTAGAGGATACCATGGAATCTATCGATCATAACAGTCCTACTAATAATACTAGTACTACTTCAGAGAAACAACAACCATTACTGTCTGCTAAAGGATTTGGTTTAACATTAACTGGTCAATGTGATTTTCGTGAAAATGATTTCTTGGCTGGTCCAAAAGAAGCTTTTATGGCACATTATGGAGCAGAACGTGATGGGGATGTAACAAAATGGTCCAATTTAGCCTCATTCGCATCATCTATTGGTCGTAGTACAAATAATGCCGGTGTACATATTCTAATGGCAGATGGAGTTAGTTCAATGATAAATTTCTTTGTGATGACGAGAGTGTATTTCAAATCTTGTTCAAAAAATCTTCTCATATGTTTGTCTGTTTACTACTTAACTTTTTAGTTTGACACTGGAATTTTCTTAAGAGAGAATGTTTTAGACTTGATGCATGGGATGTATGGGATCAATTAAGGGACGAGTATACTGCACATCAGTTCTCTCTGTTTTACTTTACGGCTGTGAAACATGGCCATTAAGAGTAGAAGATACTCGTAAGTTACTAGTATTTGACCACAGATACCTTAGGAATATTGTTCGCATCTGCTGGAATCACCGGGTAAGTAATAATGAGGCTAGACACAGGGTTTTAGGAAATGATTGTAAATCAGTTGATGAGGTCATGAATCTTCGTCGACTGAGATGGTTGGGTCATGTGTTACGTATGCCTGAACACCGATTACCATGACGCGCTATGATGACTAGTGTAGGGGATGGTTGTAAAAGAGTTAGGGGCGGCCTAACCAAAACATGACATCAGAGCATAAAGTCACTAAGTTCTAGTCTGAGCCATGTTGGCAAATGCAGACTACCTGGTTGGGATCCGCGTGACTATCGCAACTAATGGTTGAAGACTATGTGACATGGATCAGAATCAATCACAATGGCGTAGATGTATACACTCTTTATCTTCCCTTAAACCTTGAGATTAAGATTGCTTCATATCTGTCCTTCTTCCTATACTGTATTCCTATATACAACCTATCTTTTATATACCACGACCACTAAATTAACTATTTCTATGAATCCGGTGTTGATCTTGTCCTTAAGAGGTATGTCAATTTGGACCGATGCATAAATGTGCCCGGTACTACGTTGTAGCTTACTGACTGACTGAATGGGATTTACTACATTTTAGGAAGTTTGTATGATTTATCTTTCAGTAATTAAGAGAATCTATGATTATAGTCTTATTCACGAAATTATTAGTTTACTTTCCAGTTTATTAATATATGCGGAGTTATTTTTTCTAGTGAAGACTTCCAATCAGTAGCAGTAGATCGTAGGTTCGAGTGCTGTTTTGATTTAGTTAGGGATGTAATACCACTAGCCTTCAAATGGGGATGGGTGATATAAGACCGAGTTCATGAAATTATACTTGACAAATAAGTTAGTTCTTTTAATGATTACGTAATTTATTTGGTGTGACTTGATTTTATATTTCAAGTGACCGGTCAGTCACAACGGGGAACCTGTACGTATGGATATCGGTTCAAGTTGTCATACTCCATTAGCACAAAGAAATAAAGTTGCCAGACAAAATCCCACACTAGTAAAGGTAGTAACAGTATCACCGCCAACAGGAAAGATTACGCATCGAAGATACGATTTGAAAATAAAATAAAAATTAGCGAAATAAAAGCAAAAAAACGTGAGGAATTCAAGAGCTCAGAATTCGGGGAAGACAAAGAATGTATGTACCTGCGCCATTTCAAACGATTTTCAGCCATGTCATTCTAAGTCTCTAATCATTGATTATGATAAGTAGTTCACACCTGTTAATATGACTTAGATCAAATTCCAGTAACTTTATGAACTGATGCCACGTTTTGGTGTGGCCGCTCCAACCATTCCCAACACTAGTAAGCATTGTGCGTCATGGTAATCGGTGTTCAGGCATACGTAACACATAGCCCAACCATCTCAGCTGTTGACGATTCATGACCTCATTAACTGATTTACCATCATCTTCTAATACCCTGTGTCTAACCTCATTATTACTTACCCGGTGATGCCAGCAGATGCTAGCAATATTTCTAAGACATCTGTTGTCAAATACTGGTAACTTAAGAGTATCTTCTACTCTTAATGGCAGACTCAGGAAATTTATAAGATATTGTTTGGCTTTTAATGAAGGTATTTCATTTAAGAAACCATCTCTTTTCCAATGAACGAGTTTCAATGAACATTGTGGAAAAATTAATTATGATGGTGATTTCAAATGACCGTCAACTTCCCGTTTTGTCAAGAATATTAAACGTTTTCAGTCTCGTTTGTCTAATGGCATTGTGTAAGATTGATGACTAACTGAATAAAGGAAAATCGTTTGTCTACACGATTCTATTAAAATACGAAATGACAAGACGGTTGAAAAGCCTGACCTTTGATGACTCCGACGAATGTTTCGATCAGTAAACACGGAGTTTGGACAAGTGTGGAACCATAAATAAGGAATGTTTTAAAAAAAATAGGATAAGATCAATCTATCATAAATTTTTATAGTGTCGTCAGTATGTATATATAGTGAACGGAGTAGAATCTGATATTGTACGTAATCCACTACAACGTAGGGTAGCCTAAACAATCAATGCTTTCCTTTTAAGTCAGAGAATAGTTAGTGATTTAAATGAAATGATAGAAATTTTAAATTATTATCAGAAGGTTTTTTTGTTGTGGAGATTTAGTATTTTCATAGTTTAAAGCGTGAGTCAATTGGAGCTAGACCACCAGGGAAAACCTGGAAGCACTGGACGGCCGTTTCGTCTGATTATGGGACTCCTCGGCTGTGCGTATCCACTACCTCGCCTCGCGAGATTCGAACCCAAGACTTACCAGTCTCGCGTCAGAGCACTTAACTGACAGACCACTGAGAATTTTGTTTTAAACATAAGTATAGTTAATCACGTATTGAGGAAAATTGCTATAATATTATTAATTATGATAGACAACGTACAAGTCAGTATTGATTCAATGGTTTTTCAATTTAAAACAACCTATAGGATAATTGTTTCTTCTTTTTTTCGATTCAGGGTTTCGATGTATCTAGTCAGTATAATCTTCAAGAGGTTATGTCTAAACAATTGTACTTATGTCAGTGTTTATGTGCATTAATCAATCTTAGACCAGGTGGGTAGGTGTATAATGGGAAATCCATTTTGCTTGTATTTCATCTGTTTCATAATATATACATGCTGCAGGTACGCTTTGATAATGAATGCCATTCGAAACGAAATCTAACCTCAGGGTCTCCCTCTGATTACCTTCAATCATCTAACATCTATTCATTGATATATCACTAAATTTTACCAATCTATGTCATCAATATTTCAAAACGCCTTAGAAATTGTTTGATTTTTGCAATTATTTTGATGCTTTGAATGCTGACTTACTGACGAACTGACTTAAACAAGGTAAGATCTGCTATAAATGCGTATTTTGGTTCAGGGAAGTCCTACTCACTGCCTTCTCGTGGCGGGGTGTTGTTTACGAAATTGAGAGGACGAAAAGCGAATGTCCGGCGCTTTAACCGGGTTGGTGGACATGGAAAGTTCACCTAGGGGAGTTGGAAAACCCTGATTCCAAACCAATAGTGCACATGAGCTCCAGTATCCTGAAGGAACAAATAGCGTATGAACCAATTATTTGATCATCGGCTACCATGGGACTGCATCTCCTCACGATGCTCCACTGCCTTGTGGACTAGACCTTCAGGTCAAGGGCTTGAGGTGTGGCCTCCTAAGAAAACCACCTGTTTCAGTTTGGGCACCTGGCAGAATCACAGCCCTCACCCAAATCAAATGACATTTGTGTGAGGGTATATATATATGTGGTGCCCCTTTGTACCATTATTTATGTGTTCAAATTAAATAAAATCAAATCGGTACAACAAAATTGAAATTAAAAATATATGAAGAGAAAGTAACTAAAAATCGTTTATAGCAGTAGTGGATTAGTTTCTATATGTAAAAAAGATGAGAGAATCCATCGAAATCATAAAAAATGACAGGAATCGTTTAAGAATAATTGATTACTTCATAAACTATCAATATGTCTTAATATAATCATCCTGTGTATTTTTCCTTAACAGAATTTTATGCCGAACAGTTAGATGGGATGACTGGTCATATGTAATGCATATGTGGCTTTCTTAATCTGATGGGGTTCTTCACTAATGTCAGTCAATGTATTAAGTGCACCTTAATATATTGTTCCAAATATCTTTAGTGCTTATTCACGAAAGAGACTTGGTAACCACCTACGATCATATACTTTTAAATTTTGGTGAAGTTTCTTGCTTTGGGCTGGGTGGTATAGTTGTGAAGTTTTCATTATCTTTCTAGACATCATCAGTGCTTACTTCGTTTCCGATCGAGTTGTTTTGATTAACTTACAAACTCTAATTCAACCCTGTTCTGATGAATTTGTCTATGAATGGTTGTTTTAGGAGTTTTTGTCTATGTACTCCTGTTCAGCGTTTTTTTGTTTCATTGACCTTTAGCTAAATAATTTATTAACTTTTCCCGTATATGTTAATGAACAGATGGGTCTCTATCGATGATGAAAGCTTTATGATTAAATTAATTTGAGCTCAAAGTATATAACATAGTCAAAAGCATCCATCTCAGTTACAAATTTTTTCTCATTTCCAAAAATTATTAATAATTATCACAAGGTGTTTTTGTGCAGATTTTAGTAATTTTATATAGTTGAGATCATGAGTCAATTGAAGCTTGACCACCATGATAAACCTGAAAGCACTGGACAGCCGTTTCGTCGTATTGTGGGACTCCTCAGCAATGTGCACCCTCGACCTCGCTTCGCGAGATTCGAACCAAGGCCCTACTAGTCTCGCGCTATAGCACCTAACCGATAGACCACTGAACCGGCATACGATGGTGTTAATTTCTAACTTCAACCAATCCACGAAATTGACCAGCCATTCGCTAATGTCTTTAATGAGTTGATATCTCCTAACAGACTTGATTGAACTCCACTGGTTACTGCTTCTCACTAGAATTCCAGGAAATACCTCATGAAGCCAGTCACTAGTGAACATACGATCATTATCAGAAGGTGGTTTTGTGGAGATTTTAGTAATTTTATATAGTTGAGTTCATTAACACCGTTGGATCTCGGCTCAGTGGTGTATCGGTTAAGTGCTCTGGCACTAGATTGGTAGGTCCTGGGTTCGAATCTCGCAAGGCAGGATAGTTGATGCGCACTGATGAGGAGTCTCACAATAGAACAAAACGTCCGTCCAGTGCTTCCAAGTTATCCATGGTGGTCTAGCTTTAATTGACTCATGATCTCAATCATTATTACTCATTGATTGTAATATTAAACAATCATATATTTGTTATTTTTTTATTCTTTTCAAAATTACTGATAAATTTAGGTGGACATTTTTTAACAAAATTATTTGATACATTCACTGAATTCACCATTGATATAATTTATATAATGGGTTATTTATTTGAAGAGATTTACATTATAAAACCTGTAACTAGTCGACCAGCTAATTCAGAACGGTTAGTTTAATTTTCATTTGATTCCATTAGACTTTGTTTATTCTCGTTTGCTAAGTAGAATGCAGGATGCAAGTTTCGTCCGATTTAGCATTTATCGGTTGTTAAGTCTTACTGGATCCTAAACTAGTCTCGTAACCCCTAAGCTAAATCTACACAGCGACTTGAACACGAGAGAAAAGGCGCATAATATGCGAGAAGCACTTTCCTCCAAAGGTACATTTATGTACAGAAAATATAGGGTTTTTATAGTATTTAGGAAGTCCTTGGTTTTTCCTGAAAGTTTTGGAATGCTACTAAGCATAGTAACAGTGTAGTAATCAGCCAATCAGGAACTCTAGATGTGACTTTTCACTTTCGCCTTTATAAATGAATATAAACTATTAGCATTCATTCACTTAGTATTGTTTGTTTGGATCTTCCCATCGATGTGTTTAGGACTGCAACTGGTCTGTCTCTAATACTGGGTTCGAGTCCCAGAGTGAACTCTGAGATGCAGGTACATCCAGCTGACGAGTCCCAAATAGGACGAAACGCGCGTCCTGGATTCCACTGCTAGCCACTATCCATCTCTGCTTATTAGCATTCATGTTTAATTTTTGGGGTAATTCTCTAAAAGACCGGAAACAACACTGAAAATTACTTTTAATTAATGAGTATTTTTGAGTGAAATTTCTAAAATGTGTCTAGGAAACAATATTTCTTGAGGTTCTTGCAAACGATCCTGGGTTGCAGGACGATCTTGACGACCTGAGAGTGTGACTCATGGAGTCAAAAGGACGACTGCTTAAGGCTATTCACACAAATTTTCTATGAATAGTTTTAGATGTGTTAGCTGCGTACTTATAGGCCCTTATCGTTAGGGTCTTGGATCTGTGAGATTAGGTGATATCTGGTATTTCTGGAGTCTACCTGTTTAAACTGCTTCCTTCTGTTATATTAGGGTAATATGGCTGTTGATATCGGTTGTTTGAGAAAGCCACCTTTCTGCAGTCACACCTGTGTACGTTCGGGAGCATGACTTCGTTCTCAGACCATGAGTATGTTGCTCCTAGTCATACCTCTATCCGATCAACCTGCCTGGTGTGGTGGGCACTAAAGTAACATGTGTTTCAGTCAATGTAGCTCGGTGAAGTCAGAATCGTTAGGGTCAACGTTTGTTGCATCATTCAGCACAACTCTCAATTCAACGGTGATTAACTTTATGGACTAATGTCACACCATAATTTGATCACCATAATCTGTAATAGTCATTTGGTAAAAACTAATAAGTTACAACAATGTTGACATTGTAAGACCTTCTAATTTCCCCATTTTTGCGTATTTGTGGTAGATTGAAATTACTATGCAATTTAATATATTATTTATCAAACTGTTCATTCTATCGGTGATTGTTGTTACTTTCTCTCCTAACCGTCAAGTTATTTAGTATGCAAAAATTTACAATCCCCTTTAAACACAATGGCTGGTTGTTTACCTGCTCCCAAATCATCATCATCATCCATGACAAGTCATTCGGATTCCACTGATCAAAAGTCAAGTTTCCGACAGAAGACACGTAAATTTCCCGGTCAACATCAACAACAACAACAACAGCAAACAACCACCACAAATGGTATTGTTGATGATATCGAAGCCAGTAAAAAGTTTGGCATTTTAACTGATATGAAAGAGTCCGGTTCACTTGGTCTAGTGATCAATCATTTTTTGCAAGTTAATGAAAAGTTAAATCTAATTAAAACAAACCAATCATTATCGTCAACCAATCCTAAATTGGATGTATTAAGAATATGTCATACTGAAATGATTGAACGTGATGATAAATTTATGCAATTTATTCAGGGGATGAATGAAGAGTAAGTTGTGAATTTTTTGCATACTTTTCTAACTGGAAAATATACACAAGTTTGTTTATATTTGTCTACGTAATGAGTCTATTCAGGGAACCGTTCACTGTTGTCCGTTGCTTGTTTACTAATAAATTTAGGTCGCGAAAATGTTGCTTTGCCGAGGGTGGGGAGAGTCAGCTCTCTTTCCCAAGTTGCTTCTGCATAGCCACATGTGTACATCGACTGTCAGAGAATTCTTACTCACTACCTTCTTGAAGCGAAGGGTTCTTTACAAAATCGAGAGGACGAAAAGCGAATGCCCGGTGTTTTGATCGGGTTGGCGTTGGAGGATACTGAGGATACATCTAGAGGAGTTTGAAAACCCTGATTTCAAAACGATGGTGAACACGGGCCCTAGGATCTTAAGGAAAAAAATAGCGCATGAACCTATTGTTGGTCATCGGCTACCATGAGACTGTATCGCTTAACGTTGCTCCACTGCCTTGTGAATGAGACCTCTAGGTCAAATGCTCGGGGAGTGTTTTCTTTAGAAAACCACCTGCTTCGGTCTGATTATCCGAGAAGTATCGCAGCCCTCACTCAAATCAAATAACAAAGTATATCGCATATGCATTTGGTGCCTCTTTGTACTAATGTTTACGTTTTAAAATAAGAAACAAAAACTTTTTAAAAAATGGTTTGTTTTTGACAGTGCAAACGTTCCATTTCTGTTTCCATTAATCGAAAAATTCGGAGAAGTCAATAACTCTAACTACCTTGTTATTATATCGGAACTGTCTTAAGAAGCTGAGTTGGATTGAACTGTTAGTTTCTGCATGAATACCTCAGGGAACCTCATTTAGTCTGCTTCATGTTAAGCCTAATGCAGCTGTAGGATGGTTTCAAGATATTGCAAAGAAATAGATATTATTGAATTGAGTTGTCAAAGCTCATTGTAATACTCTAATCTCCTCTTTCGATAATGGCTAGATATATTAATTATATTAAGAGCTCTGTAGTCGATGATATCGTTTTATGGTGGAACACTAGGTTACATTGAATAGTATGGCTTTGAACCGGTCATACTGACATAGATACATTCATTGTTTATCTTCTCTTAAGTTTTAAGTTCTAAATTTATCTTGTACTGTTTATTCCGTAAAGTCTATTACTTAAATGATTTGGCAACTTAAGTTGATGCGCATGTATGCCATGTTCTACGTTGCTAATAATTGACTGATTATGAAAAGACTAGTTCCCTAGCAAATATAATTGCTGTAGTGTATATTCAACCAAATGTTTAACTAAATGTCTCTTATTTTCTTTTCATCTTTCCTTTAGTTTTGCTAAACATCAATGTGTTGCTTTGTCTAAACTGTTAGCATTCTCTCAAAATCATAGTCTTACTGAAACGAGACAAGATGAATTGTATAAAGCATGTTTAGAAAAATGGAAGGTAATTGTGTTCTTTTATTTGCTTTGTTGTTGTGTTCCTTGTTCGTGTTTCACAATCTTCATCGGTTTCATCATACGATTTTTATTGATACTTTACGAACTGTTAGTTAATTCGAGGGTGATGCGAGTTAAGTATGCCAAATTATTAAACATTTTAGTGAGATTTATATTAGACGCTTCATTGGTGTAAAGCATTTTAATCACTTCTCTATCTTAGTCATTCAGTCATTGTTACGTCCTTGAATCTGTCTACCCACTTTAGTTCCGAGTATAACTTCTGTAATGTAGATTAAGACCTTGACGTGATAGGCTGACTGGCTTAACCTTGAGGCTAGTATGCGTGAGTTCGAAGTGGGGGTAGAGAGACGAAAACTATTCTATCCCTGATTGGCTGGCAAGCAAGCGCGCGAGAGAGAAGACAAGGACAACTGCAACGCTAATCACTTTATTCCAATCCCGATCTAGCACTCGAATTCCGAATAATTAGGGAAATACAATTATGTCCAGAACTGGGGAGAATAGAGTAGAAAATAGAGTACAAAAGATTACGTCTAAATTACAATAGCTTTGGAACAGAAAATGTTATGGCAGTGAATCGTACATCAAACGAAAGCTTATGATCTGTAGAATAGACTAGGCACAAAAGTAAATGTTACAGTTACAGTTACAGCGGTTCACATGAAAAATAATTACAAACAACCAAATAGACAAAGATAAACAATGAACAATTCCGCACCGCTGCAACAGAATCATCTCCTACAGCGGATATTTCAAGTAGCAAATAGATATCAGGACATCCTCAACACACCTCGAAATAACTTCATTCATTGATAAAACACAACTAATTGTCAGTGGTTCTAGACTCTCGTCAACTTACTACTTCTCTATATAATAGAAACAACTGGACATCTAAAATAGTTAAGTAGGTAGAAGTTGTATATCTAAAGAAGTTGTCTCAACAGTAATAAACATGAGTATATTCAACGATTATATCTTAAACCAATAGGTGAAATAAACACAAAAACAACATCTAATTACCTCTTCCTGTATGGTAATTTACGACAATCTCGACCGTAGATGCACACAACATCATATATAAATAAACCGTGTTTTCGTAAACCATTCTATAAAGATCCAGAGAGCAATACAAAAAGAAGGCTTTTAAGACTTTTAACACACATAATAACGAAAGTTACAAGCATAATTTATTATCACATGAAATGAACGATACATGCACACACACTTGTTACCAGACGTATAGTAGTTTATGACTAACTTTAATGAAAACGGATTTCACCGGTAAAAGTCAGCTTCTGATTAGATGCAACTGACTAAACAGATATAGAATTATGAAGAACTTAATAATAATTGTTATTAATGAATTAAGTAAATCGCAGAGTATCACAGTTCCTGACAAATCATTGTTGATGGTATTTTTAAGAGATCAAAATATCAGCATCATCTCATAACATAGACGAAGGACAGGTATTGTTGAAGAAAATCTTTCGGAAATTTGTTTTTTTTCTCCAAACTAATTAATTTTAATTCATTAACCAACTGTAGATTATAAGCCATTGGACGTCCATGATATACAACTAGCCGACTGTCGCACATATTGCATTGATTGACTGTAAGTACTTATAGTTCACATACACAAACTGACCTTAGTCAGACAGCTATTGAAAACCAGGAAGTATTGGACAGATTTTTCATCCTGCGATGAAAATCCTCAGCAGTGCGAAACAGCGATTTCGCGAAGGATATGTCGAGATCAGAAACTGCAGGTCTAGTAGATAGCGTCCAAACTCCCCTAGGTGGACTCTCCGTGTCCACCAATCCGGTTAAAGCGTCGGATATTCGCTTTTCGTTCTCTCAATTTCGTAAACAACACCTCCGCCACGAGAAGACACTGAGTAGGACTTCCTTGTCAGCGGCTGCATACGCGTGTTTATATGAGAGCATTTCGAGAGGGAGAGCGGACTATCCTCACTCTCGACCATACCAGGGTCAGCACGAAGCGTTGACTGTTGCTATTCGCTTCATCACTTTCAATGTAACTTTTTAATCGAAATATTCCAAGATAAGACAGTTTTGTGATTTTAAGGAACCATGAGTAGATGGTTACTATTGTGAATCTTAGGTATAATTCCATATAGAATTCGATTACATTTGTGAATCAATCAATTATAATTCCATAAAATTAAATTGAGTTAACTCATTCACCAGGTAATTGAATATGTGTGATTCACATCAAAAATAATTACAAACAACCAAATAGATAAAGATAAACAATAAACAATTCCGCACCGCTGAAACAGAATCATCTCCTACAGCGGATATTTCAAGTCCCAAAGTAGATATTCGCCAAATAACATCAGGACATCCTAAACACACCTCGAAATAACTTCATTCATTGATAAAACACAACTAATTGTCAGTTGTTCCAGACTCTCTTCAACTTACTACTTCTCTATATAATAGAAACAACTGGACATCTAGAATAGGTAGGTAAGTAGAAGTTGTATATCTCTCAATGTAATCGCCATCATGGGGCGAAGAGAAGAATCTACCGTTGTTCTCGATACTCGCCTACACAGGAAGCCGAGAAACCGTGCTCAATGTGGGAGATTTTTTTGAACAGTCTCGGCATAGGAAATTCAGCAACTAAAAAGACTGTAAAACCTCAAGAACATCCTATTGGGAGATCACGACGGAAACGCAAAGTACTTGATGTTATGCAGATGGACCCAAAGAAAGGAGCATATTTTTTACGGGGGGAGATTTCGATGATGATATCTTAGCTGCTTGCAAATAATGACTAACCACTTTTCTTTTTTTTCCTGTTTACAACAGTTAACCCAATTGGTCACGACCACAACACCATCCAGTTTCCTTTATGTACTCAATCAATGGCAGTGATAACATAAATTTTTTTTGACAAGGGGGAAGATGATGTGAACCGCGAAACAAGAAGCCGTAACAAATTACGGAAGCTATTTTTGAGGACGTTATTTCAGTTAGTTCAAAGCTTGTAAAAACTGTAACATTTACTTTTGTGCCTAGTCTATACTACAGATCATATGCTTTCGTTTGATGTACGATTCACTGTCATAACATTTTCTGTTCCAAAGGTATTGTAATTTAGACGTAACCTTTAGTACTCTATTTTCTACTCTAATCCCGCCAGTTTTTAACATAATTGTATTTTTCTAATCATCGTACGTTGTGGTCAGGTTATTCATCTATTTATTCATGTAACTTTTCACCCTTATCGGAATTGGGAATTCGAGTGCTAGATCGGGATTGGAATAAAGGGCTTAGAGTTCCAACTGTCTTTGTCTTCTCTCTCCCTCGCGTGCTTGCCAGCCAATCAGGGTTTCGATCGTCAACAAGACGATCTTGGGTGCTGATAAAGACATGAGGGCCGTTGTCACTTCCCGATTGTTCACTGTGCAGAAGCTTGAAGAAAATAGAAGGGAGGAAAATTAACCAGATAACCTACTTGGGATTTAGACGATTATCGCGACCGATGATAAGAGATGTTGGGTGAGAGCTCAGAATCAATTGCAATGGCCCAGATGTTTTCACTATTCATTTTACTTTAAGTCATGATTTTCAAGATCCTTTTATCAATTTATTTCGTGGATTCACTCGTTCTTCACAAATCTTATTCTTTATCCATAGAGAATTTTGGATAACATAGCTACTACCAAGAGTACTTAGGTATTCATCTGACTGTGGTGTTGTATTGTGACAATTTACAGATTGATAAACATATATACAAAGTTGCATATTACACACTGATCATATGGGATCATGATTTAGTACTGTGAATAAGTAGTTAAACTACACGAACTACCTATCTAGAACATTTTTGAGTTTACAGCGAATTTCTTTCAGCCTAATATCAAGTGTTTGATAACAATCATCTTTAAAATGAAAATGATAGCCAAAAGATTGACAAGCAACTGTAAAAACATGGCATAACAAAACAAAAAACATAATTCAATAAAATAGTCAACAGAGAGACAACGGAAACATGGTAAGCGAATGAGTTTGTGGTAGATCAGTGCAGTAATCATAACCCAAACCAATTGTTAATATCCTACATACCTGTCATATGTTGTACTAGTAGCAACGAATGTGGTTGGAATGTAAAACCGTCGGGTAAACAATGCATTGGCACAAGTGTTGGTGAATCTTTACATGGTAGAAGAGGTAGTCTATAATAGGGAACAAATAAAAAAAACAATTGAACAGAATATATATGTATATATACATATACATGGTGCTAATAAAACACATATACTTAGAAAATGTAGCACCATAATTCCTCTCAATAAGTAATAAAACAAACGAAAATTGGGGGGAGTGACTATAGAATACAAATTTATGGCCGCACAAAGCTCATTCGATTTGTGTGAGGGCTGTGATACTGCCCGGTTGCCAAAACCAAAGTAGATGGTTCTCTTAAGGGACCACACTCAGAGCCTTCGACCGAGAGGTCTGATCCACAAGGCAGTGGAACATCATGAGGAGATGCAGTCCCGTGGTAGTCGGTGACCAACGATTAGTTCATACGCCATTTGTTACGTCAGGATACTGGAGCCCATGTGTACCATAGGTTTGGAACGAGGGTTTTCCAACTCCCCTAGGTAAACGTTTTGTGTCCACTAACCCGGTTAAAGCGCCGGACATTAGTTTTCCGTTCTCTCAATTTCGTTAATAACATCGGTGCCACGAGAAGGCAGTTAGTATGACCTCTCTGGCAGAGGCTGTTTATGTGTGGCCGTGTGAGAGAGTTTCGAGAGAGAGAGAGGGAGGGTCCTCCCCATTCTCGATCGCATCAGGGCATTTGGGGGCATTACTTAGGTAACTTAATTTTGTAATTCCCGAATGATAAAATGCTTAGGTGAGATGATGTTGAATAATGAAGACAAGAATAGTCTTGAAACTAGTTACAGTCAGTCAGTCAGCTACAACGTAGGACCAGGCACATTT